CAGGTAAGCCAGTCCTTGGGACCCACTGGGTAGTGTTGGGTCAAGCAGGCCTGTCTTTGTGCCTCCAGGTGGTATACATGGACACGAGTGTTAGCAGGTCTAAACAGGCTGATCATTGAGTTCAGTCTTTTTAAATGTAATAAAACTTGTTTTGTGGAATAACATGGTTTACCCTGGATATGTCCTATACACACTTGAGAAAAATCTGTGTTCTATTTTTGTTTCATGGCATGCTCTGTGTATGTTAGGTTAAATTGGCTCTGTTTCCTTATTGCTTTTGAACCTAGGAGGTGGAGGTTGCAGTGAGCCAAGATCTCACCACTGCACTCCAGCCTGAGTGACAGAGCAAGACTCTGTCTCAAAAAAAGAGATATGCTTATCAATCCATGTAAAATAACCAAAGAGATTTTGAAAGGGATTGTGCTCAACCTGCATAATAAATTGAGGGGTGATCTAGGTTGGCCAAATAGGAACAGCTCTGGATTGCAGTTCCCAGTGAAAACACTGAGGGTGAGTGACCACCACATTTCCAAATGAATTTTTACTGCCCACAGACAAGGAGATTCCTGGGCAGAAAAGCACCATGAGTCTCCAGCACAGCTGTTTCAGCCAGTACAGCAGGTCTCTGCACAAAAACTCACACAAATCCGGGCACCGTTTCAACTGGCAACTGGAATGCCTGGGAGACAAGAGTCACCCATTCAACTGAAAAAAAGGGGGCTGAAACAGGGAGCCTGGTCATCTGGCTCTGCTGGTCCCACCCCACAAAGACCAGCAATCTGGAACACTCTGGTTTGAGAGTTTCACAGCAAGCACAGCTGGACCCAGGACGGTCCAGCTCTGTGGGTGGATGGGCATCCACCATTACTGAGGCAGTCCACCACTACTAAGGCAGTCCACCATTACCGAGGCAGTCCACCATTACTGAGGCAGTCCGCCATTACTGAGGCAGTCTGCCATTACCGAGGCATACTACAATTACCAAGGCAATTCTAACTATACCCCTATAAACAAAACTGCGAGGAAGTTCACACAGGAGCTGGGCAGAGCCCATGGCAGCTCAGCAATGCCTCTCCTGGCAGACTGTGTCTGGAGTACCTCCTCACTGGGCAGGGCATCTCTGAAAAAAGGCAGCAGAATGACAGGAACTTATAAATAAAGCTCCACCTTCCCAGGACAGAGCACCTGAGAAAAAAAGGCGGTTATGAGTTCTGCTGCAGCAGACTTAAACGTACCTGCCCAGCAGCTCTGACTGGAACAACAGAGCTCACAGCTCAGCACTTGAGCTCCTATAAGGGACAGACTGTCTTCTCAAGCAGCTCCCTGACCCCCATATAACCGAAGAGACAGCTCATAAAGGAGAGCTCAGGCTGACATCTGGCAGGTATCCTTCTGGGACAAAGATAACAGAAGAAGAAACTGTCAGCAACCCTTACTGTTCTGCAGCCACTGCAGGTGATCCCCAGGCAAGCAGGGTCTGGAGTGGAACTCCAGCAGTCCTACAGCAGAGGGACCTGAGTGTTAGAAGGAAAACTAAGAAACAAAGAAATAACTTCATCAGCAACAAAAAGGACGTCCACTCAGAGACCCCATCTGAAAGTTACCAACTACAATGACCACAGGTAGATAAATCCACAAAGATGGGAAGAAACGAGTGCAAAAAGGTTGAAAATACCCAAAACCAGAATGCCTCTCCTCCTACAAGGGATCACAACTCCTCACCAGCAAGGGAACAAGGCTGGATGGAGAATGAGTCTGATGAATTGACAGAAACAGGTTTCAGAAGGTGGGTGATAACAAACTTCTCTGAGCTAAAAGATCATGTTCTAACCCAATGCAAAGAAACTAAGAACGTTTAAAAAAGTTTGACGATATGTTAACGAGAATAAACAGCTTAGAGAGGAATATAAATTAATTGATGGAGCTGAAAAATACAACACGAGAACTTCGCGAAGCATACACAAGTTTCAATAGCCAAATTGACCAAGCAGGAGAAAGGATATCAGAGATTGAAGATCAGCTCAATGAAATAAAACAAGAAGGCAAGATTAGAGAAAAAAGTAAAAAGAAATGAACAAAGCCTCCAAGAAATATGGGATTATGCAAAAAGACCTAATCTACGTTTGATAGGTGTACCTGAATGTGACGAAGAGAATGAGTCCAAGCTGAAAAACACTCTTCAAGATATCATCCAGGTAAACTTCCCCAACCTAGCAAGGCAGGCCAACATTCAAGTCCAGGAAATAGAGCACCACAAAGATATTCCTCAAGAAGAGCAATCCCAAGGCACATAATCATCAGATTCACCAGAGTTGAAATGAAGGAAAAAATGCTAAGGGCAGCCAGAGAGAAAGGTCGGGTTACCCACAAAGGAAGCCCAACAGACTCACAGTGGATCTCAGCAGAAACCCTACAAGCCAGAAAAGAGTGGGGCCAGTACTCAACATCCTTAAAGAACTTTCAATCCAGAATTTAATATCCAGCCAAACTAAGCTTCATAAGTGAAGGAGAAATAAAATCCTTTATGAACAATCAATTGCTCAGAGATTTCATCACCACCAAGTCTGCTTTACAAGAGCTCCTAAAAGAAGCATTAAACATAGAAAGGAACAACCAGTACCAACCACTCCAAAAACATACCAAATAGTAAAGAGCATCGACACAATGAAGAAACTGCCTCAACTAATGGGAAAAACAACCAGCTAGCATCAAAATGACAGGATCGAATTCACACATAACAATTTTAACCTTAAATGTAAATGGGCTAAATACCCCAATAAAAAAGACTGGCAAATTGGATAAAAAGTCAAAACCTATCGATGTGCTGTATCCAGGAAACCCATCTCACATGGAAGGATACACATAGGCTCAAAATAAAGGGATGAAGGAAGATTTACCAAGCAAATGGAGAGCAAAAAAAATCAGGAGTTGCAATCCCAGTCTCTGATAAAATAGACTTTAAACCAATAAAGATCAAAAGAAACAAAGAAGGGCATTACATAATGGTAAAAGGATCAGTGCAACAAGAAGAGCTAACGATCCTAAATATATACACACCTAATACAGGAGCACCCAGATACATAAAGCAAGTTCTTAATGACCTACAAAGAGACCTAGACTCCCACACAATAATAGTGGGAGACTTTAACTTTCCACTGCCAATATTAGACAGATCAACGAGACATAAAAATAACAAGGATATCCAGGACTTGAACTCAGACCTGGACCAAGCAAACCTAATTGACATTTACAGAACTCTCCACCCCAAATCTACAGAGTATACATTCTTCTCAGCACCACATCACACCTACTGTAAAACTGACCACATAATTGGAAGTAAATCACTCCTCAGCAAATGCAAAAGAACGGAAACCATAACAAACAGTCTCTCAGACCACAGTGCAATCAAGTTAGAACTCAGAACTCAGAAACTAACTCAGAACCACACAACTACATGGAAACTGAACAACTGGCTCTTGAATGTTGACTGGATAAAACAATGAAATGAAGGCAGAAGTAAAGATTTTCTCCGAAACCACCGAGAATGAAGACACAACGTACCAGAATCTCTGGGGCACATTTAAAAGAGTGTCTAGAGGAAAATTTACAGCAATAAATGCCCACATGGGAAGCAAGGAATGATCTAAAATCGATGCCCTATTGTCAAAATTAAAAGAGCTATAGGAGCAAGATTTAAAAAAAAAACTCAAAAGCTAGCAGAAGACAAGAAATAACTAATATCAGAGCAGAACTGAAAGGGATAGAGACATCACACACTGATGTCTGTGAGAGGGGACTAGGTGAGGGACAGTGGGGGTAGGGAGTTGGGGAGGGATAATATGGGGAGAAATGCCAGATATAGGTGATGGGGATGGAGGCAGCAAACCACATTGCCATGTATGTACCTATGCAGCAATCCTGCGTTCTTCACATGTACCCCAGAACCTAAAGTGCAGTGAAATATATATAATAAATAAATAAATATAGGGGGTGTTGCCATCTTAATATTAAGTCTTCTGATTCATGTAAGTGATGCATCTTTTATTATGCTTTAATTTCTTTCAGTAGTGTTTTATAGTTTTCTGTGTATACATTATCATTTATGTGTAAATATATCTTTGTCATTTTAATAAAATTTATTGTCTGTTTCTAGCATTGATCCCTAGAAAACTTAAAAGAGAAACTTAATCTCTATTTTTGTCCCCTATAAATAATAAAGTGGTCCTGTATTCATTTTTTAAAACTTTAAAAAATATACATATTTCCAAAGATTCCCACATTTATTTATTCAGCAAACATTTATTAAACACCTTCTATGTGCCAGGCAGATACAGATATTTGCCCTCATACAGCTGAAAGCCATAGAATTTAATATTGATATATCAATAAAATTTAGTAAAAATATTTAAAGGAGCCTCTGAACTCTTATATCACTTATTTAAGTCTTCTTATAGGACTTATACATTATATTCTATTTTTTTTGTTAAAACTTGAAACACCACATATGTCTATAAACAACTACCTCTAAAGAAAATGTATGGTCCATGATGATTATTGCTAAAACTGTTTTTTCTTCCTTACTTTTAATCTTATTTTTAATGTTTGTTTCTAACCATTGTGAGTGAATTAAAATATATTTAAATTTTTTAATGCTTTCTGGGGGAGGACATAGAAAGGAGATATTCATATAAGTGGTTTATAGCTTCATTTAAGTGTTTATCATGTCTTAACAATATAAGGTGAATTATTGGGGAAGTTATCTCTGGGCATTTAAGAAGCACAGTCTGCCACTCTTTAGCTGACTAATTTTGATGAAGCTACTTAACTTTCTGAGCCTTGATTCTTATCCTTTATAAATTGGAGATGATATTTATTATTTAACCCATTTTGATTGTAGACATTAAACTAGGTAATATTTGTGAATGTATTTTGAAAACTCTAAGGCGCTGTATGGATGTGCTGTTTTATATGATATGTGATTTCTGTCGACTCTCCCACAGGAGTACCAACTCATGATAGGAGTCAGTAATCGGATGCTCTGGGCGGCCTATTTCTTCACATTCCTCTCTTTGTATTCTATTATCATCATTTTTATGTGCATAATTTTCTTTGTCAAGGCAAGTGTCTATTTCACTGCAGCATGTTGTGGATAAACTTTGAGAGGGAAAACAGAAACATGGTGTGGGGCCAAATGGGTCTTGGGTTTTTAGGGAATGAAACTGTGGCTTTTGTTGACTCCATGGAGGAAACTCAGAGACTGCTTAGTCTCTCAGCAAACAAAACTTTAGACCTAGAGGGATGAGCCACCTGTAAGAAATAAATTATTAACTCTCCATCTCACTGAGCAGAGTCATCAGTTTCACTAAGACTATTAAAATACTTATGGATATTTCATTTTTCCTCTTTGGTTTTGTTGCGATGCCACTTAGAACATGACTGACCTGGTTTCCTAATTGTTTTGCTAGGTTGAACCCGCACCAGTCATCCAAAGCAGTGACCCAACACTTATCTTTATCTTTTTGCTATTTTATGCCATTGCCACAATATGCTTCAGCTTTATGGTTAGCACTTTCTTCAGTAAAGGTGAGTCTGAGATTCCAATAGTGAAATATTCTCAGTAAGTATATTTTAACTGCCAACTCATCTACAGCCTCTGTTTACACACTCTAACTGAGAAGACAAATATCATATACATGTGAAATTATTTGGACGGGAATGAAGAGAGCAATGACAATTAACATAGCACAGGATACATGTGAAAAAAGACAAAAACCAAAAAAGAGCCTGTCTGGGTGTTCTTTCTAACCTTTAGCTGCTGCTTCATCTATGGAATTTGTCCGACCCTTCCAACAGCAAGGGTTGAGATGGAGATGGCTCCTGTATGTTCTATTGGAGGGACTAATGTCCGCTAGTATCTGATGATGAGAGTGGTATATGTGAAGAGGGAAAAAAAGGCAGTACTGCTTCAATGAAAGAAAGGGTCCTTGCACTTAATTAATAGATCCTCATCGTGTGTCTTCTGTGTATTTATGTTTTTTGTTTGTCTGTTTATTTGTTTTGAGACAGAGTCTCACTCTGTGGCCCAGGCTGGAGTGGCACAGTCTTGGCCCACGGCAATCTCACCTCCCAGGTTCAAGCAGTTCTCCTGCCTCATCCACCTGGGCAGCTGGGACTAATTTTGTATTTTTAGTAGAGATGGGGTTTCACCATGTTGGCTAGGCTGATCTTGAACTCCAGACTTCAGGTTATCTGCCTGCCTTGGCTTCCAAAAATGCTGGAATGTCCAGCCTATGTGTCTAAAATATACTGTCTGCCCCACAGAGCTAATAGTGACCTCGGGAATATGACTATTATATGCATAAAAAAGTAGCTTATGAAAAACATTAGGGTCATGTGATTTGCAGAGCACAAGTTGGGGACCCAGGAAAACCAGTGGTATAATTCCAGTCGGACTCTGAAGGCCTGAGAAGCAGGAGAGGTGATGGTGTAAACCTCAGTTCAAAGGCTGGAACAAACTGATGTCCCAGTCAAGCAGGCAGCAAGGAAGAAAAGAGAGAATTCCCCGTTCTTCCACCCTTTTGTTCTTTTCAGACCCTCGACAGATTGGATGATGCCTACCCACATTGGGGAGGATCATCTGCTTTGCTGAGTCCACTTATTGAAATGCTTATCTCATTTGGGAACCTCCTGACAGACACACCCAGAAATAATGTTTAATCTGTATATCCCATGGAGAGTCAAGTTGACATGTAAAATTTACCATCGTAAGAGGACATACCTAAAATGCAATAAAATAAATAAATGGGGGGAAAAAAAGAGGACATACAGAGAACAATGAAAATTAATGAAATATAGTATACACATTTTTTAAAAAAGGAAATGGATAAAGATATTCCAGATTGAGATAGGCCTGGAAATGCCTCCAGTAGAGGTAGGTTTCAAAACATTTGTGTTGGAAGATGGGAATGAACAGGAAGTCAAGTCAGTGGATGCAAGTATACATTCATTCATTCAAGTTTTGGGATATTTGTGACCATGCATGGTGGCTCACACCTGTAATCTCAGCACCTTGGGAGGCCAAGGTGGGAGGATCACTTGAGGTCAGGACTTTGAGACCAACCTGGCCAAAATGGTGAAATTCCGTCTCTATTGAAAATACAAAAATTAGCTGTGTGTGGTGGTGGGCACCTGTAATCCAAGTTAGGAGGCTAAGGCAGGAGAATCGCCTGAACCTGGGAGGTGGAGGTTGCAGTGAGCTGAGATCATGCCACTGCACTCTAGCCTGGGCAACAGAGTAAAACTCCATTCCCCCACCCCCCAAAAAAGAGAAATGTGGATATTTGATCTTGTACAGTGTCTAATACACAAAGACTAAGAAAAATCATTTCCTTTCCCATTGAGGGCTCACATGCAAAGTGGTTTTATGAATTTACAGCCTCACTGGAAGAAGATGAGAATTCTTCATGTTGCATATTCTTGCCAATAATTAGAATTGCCAAGCTTTAAATTGTGCCAAATTAGGAATGTGAAATGTTATAGCAATTAAGTCTGCATTTCCCAATTGCTAATGAAGTTGAGTGTGTGCTACTAATATGAGTCATGTGTGTTTCCTCTTCTATAACTCTGTTAATGTGTTCTGATTTTTTATAGTTATTAAAAATTTCTAATAGTATTTTTACTTAAAGTCTATTTTGTCTGATCTTTGTATGCCCACCCTGATTTCTTTTTGTTATTTTCATGGAGTATCTTTTTCTATCCTTTGACTTTTAACCAGTTTGTATATTTGAATCATTTTTTTAATCCATACTGTCACAGGGAGGGAAACATCACACACTGGGGCCTGTCTGGGGGTTGGGGGACTATGGGAGGGATAGCAGCGTGTGAGGGGATTGGGGAGTGATAGCATTAGGAGAACTACCTAATGTAGATGATGGAGTGATGGATGCAGCAAACCAGCATGGCAGGTGTATACCTATGTAACAAACCTGCGTGTTCTACATATTTACCCCAGAACTTAAAGTATAATAAATGAATTTTTTAAAAAATCCATTCTGCCACCTTTGCCTTTTAGTGAAGATGATAATACAGAACTGACGTCTGCCATTTTGGTATTTGTTTTATATATGTCATATCTTTTTTTCTCTCATATCTTCCATTTTGAGTTCCAGCTAATTTCCTTTTCTGTATATATTCTAATTCTTCTCTGAGGGGGTAATTTGGATATTACAATTAGTATCTTAAACAGTTTAATTTGGATTAATAACAATTTAGCTTCAATACTGTACAAAAACTCTTCTGTCAAGCTTCAGCTTGACAGATATGTTAGTATTTTCACAAATTACATCTTTCTATTGTGTGCCTATTAACATGTTTATAATTATTTTATGCATTTATCTTTTAAGTCATGTAGAAGGAAAAAGAAACCAAGATCATAACACTGGCTTTTATATTTGTCTTTGTAGCTACCTTAACTGGAGTGCTTTATTTTTTCATATGACTTCAAGTTACCATCTATTGTCTTTTCGTTCAGCTGGAAGAACTACATTGTAGGGCAGGTCTATTAACAACAAATTTTCTTAGATTTTGCTACTCTGGGAATTTCCTAATATTGCTTAATTTTTTTTTTTTTTTTTTTTTTTGATTTTTTTTTTTTTTTTTTTTTGAGACAGAGTCTCACTCTGTTGCCCAGGCTGGAGTACAGTGACACGATCCTGGCTCATTGCAACCTCCGCCTTCAAGTTCAAGTGATGCTCATGCCTTAGCCTCCCAAGTAGCTGGGATTACAAGCTTGTGCCACCGTGCCTAGCCAATTTTTATGTTTTTTAAGTAGAGATAGGGTTTCACCATGTTGCCCAGGCTGGTCTCTACTTCTTGGTCCCAAGCGATCTGTCCACCTCAGCCTCTGAAAGTGCTGGGGCCACAGGCATGAGCCTCCACTCTTGGCTCTTCCTAATTTTTAAAAAAGATATTTTTAGAGCAGTTTTAGATTAAAGGCAAAATTCAGATGAAGGTACAGAGCTTTCCTGTAAACCCTCTGCTCCCCACATGAGTGGCCTCCCCAAGTATCAGCATCCCACATCAGAGAAGTACATTTGTTACAATTGATAAACCTGTACTAACACATCATAATCACCCAACCCCTGACAAACTTATCTTTTTACTATATTATTTCTGTGTTTTTTTTCTTAGCATGCCTAAAGATTTATTACTATTTTCCAACAGGTAGCTTTTGATTTCATTAATTTTCTCTACTGATCTCCTGTTTTTAATATCATTAATTTCTACTCTAATGCCCATGATTTCCTTTCTTCTGCTTACTTTGGATTTAATTTGTTCTTCCTTTTCTAGTTTCCTAAGGTAGAAACTTAAATTATTGGTTTTAGATCTTTTTTCTTTTTTAATATCTTCATTAAATGCATAAATTTCTCATGAGAGTTCTTCTTTAACCCAAGTATAATTTAGAAACATATCATTTAATCTCCATGTGTTTTGATATTTCCCAGTATCTTTCAGTTATTTTTTTCTATTTTAATGTCATGTGGTTTGAGAGCAGACATCATATAGTTTTGTCCCTTTACATTTGTTGAGGTGCATTTTATGACCCAGAATATTGTCTGTTCTAGTGAATGTTCCATGTGAGCTTGACAATAATTTCTATTCTCTTGTCGTTAAATGAAGTAGCCTATCGATGTTTATTATAGCCTATTGATTGATGGTATTGTTGAGTCCAACTGTGTCCTTACTGATTTTCTGCCTGCTGGATCTGTCCATTCCTGATAGAGGGTTATGAAAGCCTCCAACTATGATAGTGGATTCAAATTTTTCTCCTTAGAATGCTATTCATTTTTCACTCATGCATTTTGATGGTCTGCTCTTAAGTGCACGCTCTTTAAGGATTGTTATATCTTCTTGGAGATTTGACCCATTTATTGTTATGTAATGCCCTTCATTCCTGATAACTTTACTAGCTTTGAAGTGTACTGTCTGTAATGTATATGGCTATTCCTGCTTTCTTTTGATTAGTGTTAGCATGGCATATTTTTTCCACCCATCTGCTTTTAAACTACATGGGTTTTTATAGCTAATGTGGATTTATTGTAGACATTATATCATAGGGTCTTATTTTTTTCTAATCCCCTCTGACAATCTATTTTAATTGGTGCATGTAGACCTTTGACACTCAAAGTGATTATTAATATAGTTATATTAATATCTACCATATTTATTCGGTAGTATTCCATTTGTTGTCCCTGTTCTTTGTTTCTATTTTTGTCTTCCACTTTTTCTCTGCCTTTGGTGGTTTTCATTGAGCATTTTATATGGTTCCATTTTCTCTCCTTCTTAGCATATCAGTTGTACTTCTTTTTTTTCTTTTCTCTCTTTTTTTTTTTTTAAATTGTTTTAGTTGTTGCCCTAGAGTTTGGAAGATACCATTTACAATACATTTACAATTAATTCACAACTACTTTAAAGTAACACTATACTATCTCACTTTCACTAGTAATGTGAGTACCTCGTAATAACAAAATAATTCTAATTTCTTCCTCCCATCCTATCTTTGTTGTCATGCATTTCATTTATATATAAACCTACATAAATATATATGCCTAAGATATATGTATACATAAGAGTACATAATCAAATTCATTGTTGATATTATTTTTGTGAATGAACTCTTAGTTGTTCAATTAAGAACAAGAAATGCACATCATGGTGACAATAATACTATATTGTATATTTCAATTTTTTTTAACTTTTATTAAGTTCAGAGGCATGAGCACAGGTTTGTAACTTAGGTAAACTGTGTCATGGGGGCTTGTTGTACAGATTATTTTGTTACCCATGTATTAAGCCTAGTACCCATTAGTTATTTTTTTCTGATCCTCTTCCAACTCTCCACAATCCAAAAGGCCCCCATGTGTGTTGTTCCCCTCTATATGTCCGTGTGTTCTTATCATTTAGCTCCCACTTATCAGTAAGAACATGCAGTATTTGGTTTTCCACTACTGTATTAGTTTGCTAAGGATAATGGCCTTCAGCTTTATACAAGTCCCTGCAAAGGACATGTTTCATTCTTTTTTATGGCTGCGTATACTGCATGGTGTGTAAGTACCACATTTTGTTTATCCAGAGTAAATCTTAAATATCCTCCCTCCACCCCATCCCCCACACAGATATGAGGTGATGGATATGTCAATCAGCTTGATTATGGTAATCATTTTACAATATATACATATATCAAATCATCACACCATATGCTTGAAATAGAGACAATTGTTATTTTTCAATAAGGTTGGGAGAAAAAAGTTTTTATGTTACCTTCACTTATTAAGTCTTTGATGCTCTAAGCCCCCACCCGATGGCCACCACGACCATAATGGTGACATGCATGCAGCAGGGCCCCTGCCGGGGGTGCAGAGTCCACTTTTCTTCTCTTTAAAGAATTTATTTTACTATTTCTTGCAAGGCAGGTGAACTGGGAACACATTTCCTCAATTTTTGTTAGTCTAGGAAAGTCTATTTCTCTTTTACATTCAAAGGATAATTTCACAAGGTGCAGAATTTTAGGTTGAAAGTTTTTTTCTTCAACCTAAAATTTCCTTCAACTTAAAACATTTCAGTCTTCAGGCTTTGTTTCTGAAAAGAAGTTGGATGTCATTCTTATTTTTTTTCCTCTATAGGTGAACTGTTTTCTTCCTCTGGCTTTTTTCAGGATTTTTTTCCTTTATCTTTGATTTTCTGTAATTTGAAAATGATTTGCCTAGTTGAAGTTTTCTGACATTTGTCCTGCTTGGTGTTCTCTGAGTTTTCTGGATCTGTGGTGTGGTGTCTGACATTAATTTGGGGGAAATTTGCAGCCATTGTTGAGTCAAATATTTCTTCGTTTCTTTCTTTATTCTACTTCTTATGTTCTCATTATGCATTTGTTATAGCTTTCATAGTTGTCACATGGTTCTTGGATATTCTGTTCTGTTCTTTTTTTTTAAGCCTTTATTTTCTTTGCTTTACAGTTCTTGATATTTATATCTATATATCCCCAAGCTCAGAGATTCTTTCCTTAGCCGTGTTCAGTCTATGAATAAGCCCATCAAAGGCATTCTTCATTTTGGTTACATTGTTTTTTATCTTTAGCATTTCTTTTTCATTCATTATTAGGATTTTTATCTTCATGCTTATATTGCCCACTAACTTTGTATGCTGGTTACTTTATCTGTTAGAGCCCTGTGCTGCGGGAAGCAATGGTGAATAAAACAGACAAGTTTCTATTTCTCACAGCACTTATTTTAGTGCACTCATAATCAACAAAAATATTTATGTTTTAGATTCTTGAAGATTGCTTAAGTTGACCTTATAATTTTCTTCTTAATTGCAGTGCATATTGCAGTTGCTTTGGGAGGTTTGCTTTTTTTCGCCATCTACTTTCCAGCTGCTGGCCTCAGTGTCTACTATGGACAGATGACACTTATCCAGAAGCTGGCAGCCTGTCTCAGCTCAAACTTTGCAATGGCATTGGGAGTTAAATTTCTAGCTGATGCAGAAACATGGAGTGAGTATTTGCCTTGCAATTTTTACAATGTTTCTAGTAGCTATATCTTTGGTATCTTATTGGATATTTACAATTCTAATATTGATTTAGGTTGCTAAACTGCCCTTTAAAAAATTGGACTCCTTTACACCACCACCTACAGACAGGAGTGCTTCTGCATTCTGTATTAGTAGTTCAAAAATTTCCTGCCAGCCTCTTCCCACTTTTTTTGGAATTACCACCTGCTGTCTAATGATAGGGTGGAAAGTGGCATGGTCTGCTTTTAGTAACCTCCTTCCTTTTTCAGTTAGCACAGTATCTATGCAAGAATTCTTCTAGTCCTCTGTCTTTTGGTCAGCATTCATCCCAACTTTTCAATGATTATGTTTTTCTAAAATTTTATATTTTGGTGAACATTTGGCATGAGGAGGGGTGGAGAGAGAGGAGCCACCATCTGAACAACCGATAGGCCTGGTTATTTTTGTTAAACCCTACTTTTCTGGCTTTTTGTTATATATGTATATAACGATTTTTTTTTTTTTTTT